GGGCGGCCGCGGGCGCGCGGGCGGGCGCGAGGCGGCGCGGGGCGGCCCGGGCCGGCCCGGAGGGGCTCCGGGCACTTACCATGGGCGCGGGAATTACCTTATTAACACACACATCGAGGGAGAAGGGGCGCGCGGAGGGATACGGCCTCGCCGCCGCGCACCGCGCATGCGCGCCGCCGCGGGGAAAGGCGGGGAAGCGCGGGCTGGAGGGGCCCCGCCATGTTCCGTCCCGCCGCCCGCCCGGCGGGGGCAGGGCCGGCCCCGAGCGGGCGGCGGGACGGGGGCGGCCTCCCCAGAGGCAGCTCGAGGAATGAGAACAGGGGTAGGCATCCTGGGCTCCCCTGTGCCACGGGGCGGCGAGGGTTGCGCTTCCCGCCTCACGGCTGCTAGGGCTCTAATTCTAATCCCAGGCGAGGGTGTCCTGTCTGAGAGCCAGCTTCGCTGCCTTGCCTGCCCTGGGCAGGGCTTTACATAGAATCACAGAGTCAACTCGGTTGGAAAAGACCTCTGGGGTCACTGAGTCCAACCTATGACTGAACACCACCTTGTCAACCAGACCATGGCACTGTCACGTCCAGTCTTAAACATCTCCAGGGATGGTGACTCCACCACCTCCCTGGGCAGCCCATTCCAATGTTTAGTCACCCTTTCTGTGAAGAAATTTTTCCTAATGTCCAACCTAAACCTCCCGTGCGGCAGCTTAAGACTATCCTCTAGTCCCATCATTGTTGCCTGAGAGAGGAGCCCGACCCCCACCTGGCTACACCCTCCTGTCAGGGAGTTGTAGAGAGTGATGAGGTCTCCCCTGAATCTCCTCTTCTTCAGGATAAACACCCCAGCTCCCTCAGCCACTCGTGAGACTTGTGCTCCAGATCCTTCACCAGCTCTGTTGCCCTTCTTTGAACTCACTCCAGCACTTTAATGTCTTTCTTGAATTAAGGAGCCCAGAACTGAACTCAGCTCTCAAGGTGTGGCCAAATATAGGGGAAGCTACGCTTTGGGATCATAGAGATAGGATTTGATAGAATGACAGCTCCAAAATGATTCTAAGACCTTGTTGCTCTGTCAGAGGTCTCTGGCCTTCAGTCCCAGGCTGGCACTGAACCTGACAGCCCAGCCCCTGAAACGTTTCTCCCAGTTTTGTTTCAACAATGCAAAATGGTCATGCTCACATTGTCCCCAAAACTATTCTGAGTCATAAATCTGCTACCCCTGTGAAATGTGAATCTCATAATCTATGTCTTTCAGGAAAACATACCAACGACAAAATTCCACTCTTGGTTTGGAGATCATAATACCTTCTAGATAATCAGAAGAATACTTGCAGCAACACTGTGCACTGAGCCATTATTTTCTGCTTTTGACCTACCTAACTCAGCTTTGGACAAAATGCAAATAACCATATTCCAAGGAGCAACAATCGCCTCACAAATATCCCAGAACTGACTCGTGGAATCACTGCTGGAATAGCCCCGTTGAGTTCAAGAGAGCAGGCTGCATTTCCCATGGAGTTCCGATGGCAGAGCAGCCCTCCAGGCTGAGCACAATGTGGGGCTCACACCCCCCCAGCTGACAGGGCCTCCTCTGGTGCTGCAATACCTGAGATTTGAGTTGGGCTACAGGCAGGAATTTTTGTCGGCTGGTTTTTCTGGGCCTGCTCAGCCAGAAGGCGGCAATAGAGAACAAATCCAAACACCTCTGGGCTGCTGCTTGTCACCGGGGCATAGAAACCTTAAATCCAGCCTCCAGCACATCTCTTTTTCCTTGTTGGCAAGTGTCTGTCTTTCAACAAGCATTTAGCTTGTCCTGTTACAGCTTTTCATTTACACAGCAGCAGCAGATAACAGAAAATGTTACAATGTGCTCACAGGCGTGTGTCAACAAACAGGAACACTCGGTGGTGTTGGCTGCAGTGCTAAGGAAAAGTCAAACTTTCCATATTAATGACCGTCTTTCATAGAGGTGAAGAATGCAGCCTGCAGTTAGTCCATTAGCACTGTATATCAGTTTTCATTATTATGATATAATAATATTATAATAATAATGTCTATTTTTTTACAGGTGTGCTGGTTTAAAGATAAACCAGCAGGGGAAATGAACTCAACTCAAAAGAGAGATTATAAGTCAGAATAACAATTTAATAAAATAATACAATAAGTACGATTATACGGACAAACAATTGGTTTTAACCCACAAAACCCAAATGTGTAACCCAGCACCCTGGGGCATGAACAGAGTGCTGTTTGTTGGGCCCCCCTGAGTCCAAAGTAAAGGGAGAGGGGAAAAACCTGTTGGTGAGAGTGCTGTTGTAGTCTGGTCAAGAATGGTAATTGCAAGAGTGATGGTTGCAGTCTGTTTGAAAAGTGGTGGTTGCAGTCCAGTCGAGAGTGGTGGTCTGCAGTCTGGTTGAGAGTGGTGGTCTGCAGTCTTCCTCTGGATCCCACGAGTGGTTAAAAAAGTTCCAAGACTCCAAGTTTATATATTCTCCAGTTCAGGCAGGAATGCTCAGTACTTCCCTCAGGGCGGGGAGTTTCACAAAGAGTGTGAGGACAGAAGCACCCTCCTATCTCGCAGGCCTCTTAACACCTAGTTCATAGCCTGA